CCCCGCCCTCCCCGCCCTCCCCGCTCTCCGCAGCTACACCCCGCGCCGCCACCCCCGGCACCACTTCCTCCTCTTCTTCTTCAGAACCGTCTACACCTATTGTTTATACGCTGTTTATTATTTATCAATCTTGAACGGCATCGATTATAAGATTTCCCTTACCAGAAGCATTTTCCACCTCGCCTTCTGTGAGTGCCATACGAAGCTGTTCTCCGACATCGCTCTGATCGATAGCAGTAAATCTGAAATACAATACATTTATATTTAAAACCATCACAGAACTATTGAGATAGCTTATCGGTTTAGGACAAACACGCCACTTTCATCAGATTTAAAGTAACTGCATACTTAGAAATCTCATTGATACTGATACCTGATAAAAAAACGCCAGTACGGTCGAAAATATGCTATCCAGGAATAGTAAGAAGCTGTTATCTCTCACCTCTCCGCGAGCATATCGGCGGCGGCGCGACGACGGGCACCCTCAAGGTGGTCGCGCGCCAGGCGGGCGGCTCGCAGCGCCGCGCGCTCCGCCAGCCGCAGCGCGCCGCCCGCCGCGCCCGCCGCGCTCGCGCCCAGCAGCAGCTGCACCGCCTCCCACCACTCGCCGCTGCCCGCATCGTACAACACCACATAACGGTGGGGATATACAATAACAATACAGCGATTCCATTCACCATCCCCTTTACTCTCATCACTTTCATTCTCTAAGAAAATGGATTGTTGAAAAATAATCATAATTTAAATTAATTAGTAGACCTATCAGCGTGGTCTGCGGCGCGGCGCAGCAGCGGCGGCACGGCGGCCGGCACGGGCTCCGCGCTGTCGGGGAGGTACTCGCGAGATATGCGCGATGCGTCCTCCCACATTTCTGCGTAAACATACCGATCATAGAATATATTTAGTCGGAAGAAACACGATACTACAGACGAAACAATTAATTATAATTGTAATTAATTGTAATTATAATTATATAAGCTAACTAGTTTATATAATTGTTTCGTCTATAGTTAAAGACTGCAAGAGAATAAGAGAGACTTGACAGAACTTAGATTCAGTAAGTGTTTTTTTCATCCTTGCACACATCGTTTGGTACCGTAAAATAAAACTCTGACCGAGGTCCCTGTAGTGCTGAACGACCTCGGCTGGTCGGTTGGCGCGGATCATCAGCGCTTCAAACTGAACCAAGTCGCCGCGCTCCGCAGCCACGCGGGCTCCTTCCACAAGCACTTCTTCTACCTGTAATTGAGCACTGTGTCATCAAACCCATCCATCAAGAGAACTAAGTTTTCATAAGATTTTGCGAGTAGACCAACAAATGACAAACTGTAAAAATTAGCTTAGCGTTAAAGTCCTCTATTTGTCCAATCCCCTCTTTTAGGCAATTCCTTTGTTTTTTAATTGACAATCAGTCTCACCATGTGCGTAGCGTGCGACTCGGCGATGCGCAGCGCCCTCTGGTGTTCGCCTTGGTCGAGCCACATGCGCACTGCGTCCTCTGGGGCAGCGGCCCGCAAGTAC